TATATATACATCTATATTGACGTCTCAAATTGCTTTATAGATCATTCAAAGTCACGGAATCCTGGAGGAATACCTACCAGTACTTTGTGGCACTAAAAACTTCCTAAAGACAACATTTTCCTATAGATTCAAACAATATAGAACGTCTACAATGGAGTTACACGAAATCTTTCCATTCATAAACTAGTTCAAAAACTAAAAACTTCCTTAAGACAACACTTCAACAGATTCAAACAATATCGAACGTCTAAATGGGGCTTACCGGCTCTCCTTCCCATCTTTCTTTTCATAGAATGCACAGAAACTGGTTTTCGGGTATCTTAATGTCGAGGAACGTGTGCCTCGACACTGGTTAAATATATTCCTCAAAATAAATTCTGAAAATTCTTTCTTAATTTTGGAATCAATTCTAGCATCTCTCTCTCTGCTCCTCCCAGTCTTTCTTTTCACTTTTCATAGCCCAAGTTTTTTTTCAATTTCCGAAGCAAATGAAGCATAAACTGAGAGAAAAATCTCCCATGTGCCAATTTCCATTGTAGTACTCCACTGCCATCGAAGTGGCAGCGACGAGGCATTTAGGCACTTAGCATTTTTACACATGTAAATAAATGGCCAACACAACGACTGCGACTGCGACTGCGACTGCTACAGCGTCAGCGAAATGTGCTAAAAGTGCGGCAATAAAATGGCCAAAGAGAGAGACGCTGGGCCCAAGAGGCATGTCTCCATCGCCATCGCCATCGCCATCCCATGCCTTAGATCTCAGACTCTGAACCGATTCGTCGTTGAGTTGAACAAAATCGTTAAAATTAGTAGAAAATAGTGTGAAAAACGACACAAATACAGGGGGGTATTCCATATCAGTAGAGCTATAGGTACAGGTACAGGTACAGGTGTGGGGGCACAAGGGAATCTGTTAAGTAAAAGAAACTTTAAATGGCACTTGGGGATGGATTTTGGACGGCTGAATGGTTGAATGCTTGTACTACTCGTACGAGTACGAGTGCACACACAACAAACCGAGAAGACAGTTTAATTACGGCGTGAAGTTGAGCCCCAGAGTCCCGTACCCGTGCCCGTGCCCGTACCCCCTGCTTTTGGGTACTTACGTTTCATAGACGTTTTGTTTGCGATTTGTTTGGGGCGATGAGATGAGATTTTAAATGCAAGCGTGAATCATAAAATGCTCACTTGATGTGTTCGCTGCGATGTCACTTTGGTTACTACCTTCCAGGGAGACCGCGTGGCACACCGAGCCATCTTAAGTCTTCAAAGTCAGCGCAGAGCTCAAGGAGTGGGTGCCTCCTCATATGTATAATAATCCATTGCGAATGCATTCCCTGGCCCCATAATGATTGTCGTGGCAGTGTCTTTGCTGGATCTTTGGGCCAAGGGTCAAGTGTCTCTCTCTCGTTTTATTTTTGGTCTGCAATTGGAAATGGATCTGCAAGAGGGCTGGTTGGTATACAGTGATATATTTCTGTAATTTGTGCCTAATTTTACTTGTTTTTGATGGCCTCACTTTGGGTTTTCTGCCCCATTAGAAGGGAAATTGATTGTTGATTCATGCCTCGACGACACCTCTGTGTACACCTCTGTGTGCACACCTGAATGGAGCAATGGAGCATTTATTAAAATTAATCGATTATAACATATCCTCAAACTTTTATGAAAAAAAAAACCAATCGGAATGCTTTCTGTTAAGGCACACGTGCCTCGACATCATGATAGCCGGTACGCCGCTTCTATAAATATTCAAACTAATCCAGGACTTATTTTTCATTCAGTTATAATGGGTATTATATCCCTAAAGTATTATCCCATCTCCTACCTCTAGTAAAGATGCTCTTCCCAAATCAATAAAACCTCTTTCCAATAGATATTTAAAGCTTTTCCTAAATAAAATAATAATTTTTGCATCTTTTTAAAGACAAACTCTCCGAGTCGAATCACTCTGATGATTCACATTCCATTAATCGCCGCAATGACTAATTACTTTGAGTTACGACAAGGCTGTCCAGCATTTTATGAGCCCGATCGATCTTTGGGATTTGAATAGAGAGGAGAGGAAACCTCTCCCGTAGCCAGGACCGCCACCATCCTCGGACCGGACCTCATGCCGTTTAAAGAACCATTAACGATGGCCAAATGATCGACTGTCCAACCAGTTAATAAATTAATTGCTGAAGAAGAAACAAGAAATACTTGGAGTCTCTCATTAGATAGACTTCCAGCGATAAGGAGAAGCAGTAGTAGAAGGAGCTTCCAAGAGATTCCAAGGAGATCTTCGATCGTTTCGTTGATCGCTTTATTTGGGTCTGGGTATGGGTATGGGTATGGGTCCGGCGCATGCCGAATGCTGGTGCTGGTGCTGGCATTTTACGAGTATTTGTTCGATAAGTCTCTGCAATTAACAAAACTCAAGCGGTGGTCCAGAGTCTGTTTTTAATAAAGACAGCATTTGTATAATGTCTTGTCAAAAATTTATTGGCATTTTTGCCAATATTTTGTCCATTTCAATCTGATTGCTGCCCGCTTGCTGCCCCTTGCATTGATCTGTTCCGCGCTGGCGGAGATTGTGATCTCTGTGCGGCATGCCACTGGTGGAGCGGAGGCCTCCTCGATGGCTGCTTTTTGGGGGCTTGGAGTGGAACCGAACCGCCGCGCGGGACAATTAAAGCCCCATGAAGTGTGTTGCCAGAGATTTCCAAGAGATTTCCTTTGATTTCTTTCAGGTATTTAACTTTGATTACCACGACATGGCATGGCATGGCATGGCCTGTGCTGTGCTGTGCTCTGCTGTGTTGATGATGGCTGTGTTTTCACCTCTCTCTCATTCCATTGATTAAATTATGCAAATGCAGTGTAGCAGGGTACAGTCTGTGACAAAAGGCGTTGCCATGCACGCTTGCAGTTCTCTTTTTGGTTCCCACACCCCCAACAAAACCAGGCCAAAAAACCAAAACCAAACCTCCAAAAAAGAAACAAAAAAGTAACAAAAAATGATTTTCAGTTTCCCTAATTTCCATCAAACGGCGCTTTGCCTTTTTGTGGGCTTTTGCTTTTGGCCAAAAAGATTCTCATGTTGTCTTTTGAACCTCAACGACGATGTCTCGATGTCTCGATGTCGATGTCGATGTCGTCTCTTGCCCGACAACGTCCTCGTCATCGTTGAAGTCTTTTTGTTTGTCGTCGTCTGGCGGCTGGCGGTGTCGGTGGATTTTCAATTTCTAATGTAGTGCACGTTACGCCCTGAAGGGATTTTTATTTTATTTTATACCCATTTTTGTATCCCCCCTTTTTTTCTTCTTTGATTTTCTTGGCTTTTCTTACGGTTTTTATTTATTTATGTGCTGGCTGGCGTTGGTGTGCAATGAGAGAGGTACTTGTACAGTGGGATGGGATTGGTTAAGGATGGGGTCTCAGAGCTATAGAATTAATACGAGATGATACAGAAAACTCTCTTCATTTGAAAGCTATGTTTCTAGTACAGTTTTTCACCTAGGGGAAATATTTATCGAAGAATATATTATCCCAAAACATATTATATTATCCATAGGTCTGTCTATGGATTCATGGATAAATATATAAGACAAATATGATTAAATAATCTTGATTTTTATTGAATAATTATTATTTTTGATTTTTACTGTATAATTATTATTATAATTGTTATTCTTGATTTTTATTGAATAATTGTTATTTTTGATTTTTACTGTATAATTATTATTATAGTAATTGTTATTCTTGATTTTTATTGAATAATTATTATTTATTATTTTTATTGTATAATTATTATTATAATTGTTATTCTTGGTTTTTATTGAATAATTATTATTTTGATTTGTGTTGCATAATTATTATTATAATTGTTATTCTTGATATAAGATAAATATATAATCTCTCTAATTCTGATCTCGTTTCCTGTGCTATCACAACCCTATACTTCCCTTTAATTCTATCATAATTTTCTGGTATCCTAGCCCCACTGTGCCGCTTGCCCCTCTTTGCCAGAGTCGACATAAAGTTGGTGTGTCCCCAGAAAAGGTATCCGCAAAACGTCATTTGATGACAAACTTCAAAAAACTTTTGCATGCAATATGCTTTGTTGTTTTTTTTTGGGTTTTCTTTCATTTGTCTATTGTTGGTCGAGAAGTAATTTGTTGTTGTAGACAGCACAGCTCTGGCTCTGGCTCTGGTTGATGATTGCTTTGGTCTAGTTGTTGGTGTTACCAGAGGAACGACTAGTGCACACTTTTACAGTCAGTCAGTCATCCAAGCGATAGATAGTCATGATGTCGCCCGGGTTCAGCCCCACCGAATCGCGAAACAATCAAAATGATATGCAAATGTATGTACCGACAAGAGTACCGCTACGAAAAAGGCGTGGGTTAATTGTGACTTTATCACGGAACCAACGAACACACAGACAAACAGACAGTTGGATATCCAAAAAACAAAAAAACGAAGGGGAAAGAAAAAATCACATCATCCGTTGCAATCGAAAGGAAAAAATCAAATTTATTACAAATTTAAGCATAGAAATCGCAGTAGAGGAGTCGTCGTCGCTATGGCGATGCGGCAAGTTATAGATTTCGTCATAGTATCTATCTATATATTTTTTTTTTTTTTTTTGTTAGATGTGCAAATTTGAAATAAACCTGTCAACAAACACCAACGCGGATTGGAGGACTGGAACCTCCAAGTGCAAGGGAGAAGGGAGAACCGAATGGTGTGTGAACTTACGAACCTGCGGAGGACCCAGACCCGGACACGCCTCCTTCTGTGACGTGATGACGTGACGGTGGGTGGGCGGCGCCAAAACTAAGCCACCAAATCACACAACAACAACAAAACACATTAACACGGGGGCAGCAGCCTAGTGCTGGCAAAGCAACGGATATGGATGTCGTTCCCATAACAAAATCAAATGCCCCCAAGTTTTGACCAAAGCGTAAAAGATTCAATTTTGTATTTGAAGCCAGAAAGGCATCCATCCATCCATCCATTCATCCATCAGCCATGGTGCTGTGTATATGCCTCTCTTATGAACTAGAAATCGACATGGAGATGGCGATGGCGATGGCGATGGCGATGATTCCCAGATCAGACACACAGTTCCTGTCTGTAGAGCAAACGAAAACCGCGACCCACATATTCGGCATCGGTGCGAAAGGGCAGGATGATGGGACCGGCGGCCGTATCCCTCACCGTCGAATGCATCGTAAAATCTTCAGTCTCTCGGCCATCATTGAACCTCTCGCCACACAACGGCACTGAATTGATGGCTATAAAGTCGTCAGGGCAATTGAAGATACCAGCCCCCGCCTGGCCATCAGAAATGAGATCGTTTTCGGCTGGAAAAAATAAAGTTCTTTGATAGGGGATTCTTTTTTAGATTTGTCCATGACTTTACCTTCATCTTTGTTGACAATTTGGAAGTCTGGCTGGTCGCCGCCCAATTGCTCTGTGTTGTAGCTGACGCTGCAGACATTCTTCATACGCGACAGACATATGGCATAATTTAGATTGTTCTTAAAGGAAAATCGAATCTATAGAAACCCAATAATCCACCAATTTGTAATTGAAATACTTACAAAATATGTGGCCTCTCTGTTGTCTACAATGGAGCCATCTGTATCGTAGTTAAAGGACTTGACAATTCCTTCTGTTTCAGTGAAATACTGCAGACAATTATTGGGCGCCAGATCATCCTCCACTTGGGTGACTTTGATGTTGAAAGAACGTCCACCACTGGAGACTTTTACGAATACAGAAAGATATACTTTGCCCTCGTTGGAGTCGCCTACGTGGATGTAAACTGAAGGGAGATTGATAGAGTTTGAAGGTGGAGAATGTTGAAAGATGTTAAGGGACTTACTATGCTGGCCCGTGTTGATGCCACAGAGTATGGGTATCTGGAAATTGGTATTATGGCCTGAAACTATGAACTGATCGTCCACACAATCGCCATTGGTGGGGCGACTAAGCTAAAGGGGAAGAAAAGTACAAAAAGGTGATTATAAAACCAGTAACATTTGATCTATGGGTGGTTCTTGAACTAAACAACTGTGATCTAGTGATTCTTTGAGTAAAGATCGCTTTCTAATACCTAAGGGAAGCCGAGATCAATGATATTCATGGCCGAAAAGCCTGTAGATCAACGATCCTCTTTAAAAAGAATCCTGAAGATCACAGTCCTCCTCTTAAAGATCCCTCCCAATCCCACCTCAAACATTTGAAAATCCAATCTCAGCTGCTGCACCCCCTTCCGCACATTGAGGATCAGCACACAGATCATCATCTCCCGCACTGCATTCGGATAGTTGGGGCTCTCGAAGTAAACGATCTGCTGGCCGGTGACATCGCCACATCCGTTGACAACTGCGAAAGTAGATAGAAATTAGATGCAAATGCATTTGTGAGATCCTCGGACTTGTGGCAACTTTCACTCACAGACACAGCAGACGCCCACGCCCTCGGCACAGCTTTCGGTGGGAATGCCACCCAGGCTCTTGCACTCGAACTCGTGGTAGCACACACCCTCCATGGTGCGTATGTCGCCCATGGAGACGCTGCATTTGGTGTTGGGAAACTTGATCACCTCAAACAGACTGAGAAAGCCTTTGCCCCGCGACTTGGGGGCACTCGGTTGCTTCAGTATGAGATTCGCTTCGATGGGGGAGCCAAAGAGGAGGTTCTTGATCGTCTGCTGGGGCTGCATAATGGAGGTCTTGGTGCTGGACGGCAACATAGGAGGCCCCGGAGGTGGCCTCATCGTTGGTCTTTTGGTGGGCTTCATCTCTGGCGGAGGAGTCGGAGGAGGCGTCGGACTGGGCATCATCTCATCCGTTCCTGGCGGTGGTGAGGGCGATACTTCCTCGGGCAGGGGCTCCACAGGTGCGGATGTCGTGCGCATGGGTATCGTTGGCTCTGGCTCGTCCGGATCCTCCTCTGGAGTGGGCTCTGGAGGCGGTGCTGGGGGCTCTGGTGTTGCCATGGGCATCTCTGTCGATGACGCTGCTGTTGGCTCCTCCTCCTGCGGCTGGGCGAACAGTTTGTGCAGATGGAACCCCGGCTGGTAGCGCATTGTGTACTGGAAACCAATGCCCTCCATTACCATGCCACCAGGACGCTCCGTGATCGTTGGGCCACGCCTACTCCTTCGCATTCCCATGGTCACAAAATCGTCAGTACCACCGACGATGGCTACCACCACGCCCACATAATATAGCGTCAAAACGAGAGCGCTTATCGAGGCATTGCAACGCTTCGACAACATTATTAACGGAACTTCAATCAGCGACTGTCGCCAGTTGCATCTGCCACATGCCACATGCCACCACATCTGTGGTCTTTCTTTCTTTCTGTCTTTATCAGAGCATTAATTGTTGCCTTTCCAGAGATTTTTCAACCTTCACTTTTTGTGCCAGCCAAACAGCAAAAGAAAAACAAAGTCACGCTACTCTGATTGCACTTCTGCAATGTTGGAAGACCGACCACTCTTCTGGGGGAGAGTGTGTCGTGGTGTGGGGTGGTGTTGCTGTTCCAACAGGCTGTTAACAGGCCAAATGTTGGGCTTGCAGTCTTTGGGGGGAATGGGGATAGTTTCTGTTAAGTTTATATCTTGGCTTAGTACTTTCCTACGTGGATCACAGGGCCATGGCAAGAATTTTGACTTTTAGTCTTCTGTTTCTCCAGAGCAGCAGCTCAAGAAGCGATGGAAAACCAGTCGAAACGTTTTTGTCGAGGCACATGTGTCGTTGAAGAATCTTGAGGGAATTTCTGTAGAGTTTAATGTTAGAGTAAACCACTACAATTGCAGTTTCTATAAAGAAACCAAGTGGCATCAATTTTTTTCGAGCCACAAACTTATGATACTCCACTTGTGAAACGCAAAACCTCATTTAAGCCCCATCGATGTCATCTTAGTTTTGCTAAAATCTGCTCAAATGCTAACGAGAATATCGTATAACGTATAACGATGCATAAATTTAGATGGAACGTAGTTGAAAATCAATTAAAACTTTCATAATTAATTATGCCAGACGACAGGCCACAACAGACGCCACATGGCAATCGGCAATCAGCCATCGATTATGCAAATGGAAATGCATTTTGCAATACGAAGCATCAATATGATATCGAAATCTTCAAACGCGAAATCATTTCAATTGCAAAACCGAAATGGAAATCGAAAGAGCACTCAAGAGGCGAGAAGCTAAGTATGCAAATGCCACAGACTAAAAATCCGAAACAATTTAGCAGCAGTTTTTATGCACACGAACCAAGTGGTGCATCATCAGAGATGATGATCATCATGCAGGCCACTGAACGATGATCATCATGGAATCCACAGAGAGATGATCATAGACACATGCATCATGCACAACAAGGTTAAAAATTGTTAATTGTTCGACGAGCGACAGTCGGAGATCCAACTGAAATTGGTATTATTATGCAGGCAACAACAATGCATTGTTGGCTAAAACCCCAGTCGCAGTACTAGTCCCAGCTGCTGCCTGCCTGCAATTGGCTTTGGCTTTGGCGTTGGCGTCGTCTCCCAACTATAAATAATTGCACACTTGACAAATAAAACAACCGTCTATGTCTATGTCTATGGAAAATATGATGTGCCAGTCGTCGGTGTACGAGTATTTTCTGATGCTTAAAAGTGGATATATTAGACGCGACAATGCGGGCGTTTAGTCTTAAAGATAATCATTACGAGAGGAGTTTTTAATGGAAGTTGGGCATCGTTCGGGGCGTACTTGGCATTTCGTGATTGTGGAATAAAATTGCAATTAATCATGAGAGCTACCAATTATTATGCACTCAATCAATTAGCAGGGAGCCACAGAACGTGTGTTGTTGGAGCGATATCATAGACTCGGAGTGTTCTTAGGGGTTCATATATCTCAGATAATCGAAAAGAGAGTGATCTTTAGTTCAGTTGTAGCCTCTAAGTATTTGAACGTCGGATTTACACTAGAGATTCTTTTAAATACTCTGGAGAAGAGTCTCTTGGTACAGAAATATCCTTAGAACAGAGGCAAAATCGCTATAGAGACAACCTCAGAGGTAGAACAATCTCCGGCTTTTCCTTTGAAAGCTATAGGCTATAAATACTATGGAAATTTTATCTTATAAATAAAATTAAATATAGCTTAAATTTATAATAATCAACAGCCTCTTGCTTTAAGAAAATTACAATTTTGTACACATTAAAACTCTTACAAGTCTCTGAAACTCTTCTCCTTGCAGCAACACTTTGCTTGTTTACACAGCACTACACTCTACTGCACTCCACTGCAGATTCTGCTACATCTGCCACATGCAACAGGCATCCACAGAAAAGTCTGCATCAAAGTCTGCCTCAAAGTCTGCTTAGATCACAGACCACAAAGGAAAGAAAAGCAAACGGAGCCCAGAGAACAGAGAAAAAATCTCGAAGCGAGATCCCAAACCCAATCAAACCACACGTACAGACAATTCCCATCCATTAATTGAATCAAATCGAACGTTACGCATGCGTCATGCCACAAAATGACAAAGGGAGCCGCCACTGGGAGAGGCTCACACATGCAGATGATCATAATAATGATTATAATGATGATGACGATAGTTCCAGCCATCTTCTTGGAGGAGACACCGTCTCCACCACCTCCACTCCACCAAAAGCCACAGCAACAGACAGACGCAGAAGCAGACGATGGTAGAAGCCGTGTGTGTAGACAATATTGTTATTGCTATTACTTCATGTTATGTTATGTTCTGTTCTGTATTTGTAGTAAGCAAAGTGGAAATCGCAGTTGGAGACCATCATCCAGAGAGGGAGGGGAATCAGGGACTCTGGGACTCAGGGAAGTGGTGACCAAATCAAACTGCCTCTGGACCATGGACTGTGGACTGCGGACTGTGACTGTGGTTAAAGCCCACTTAATTGACATTTAGTGGACACTCGAATGCAAATGCAACACAGAGGCTTGGGATATACACTGGAATAAACGAAGGGAACGATTGAGGATCGATATACAACCAGATGCTTTGATTCATTGTTAAATTTATTCCCCATTTCAGTAATTTTTAAACTCTGTTTCTGCTGTGGATTATACTGGAGCTGGATACTTCTGTGTTTCGTTAGAGGACTCGGTCTTTCTAAATGACACTTCGGAGATGTCTACACTATGTCCCAGAAAGATCGCCAACTTTGTACGAGCATCTGGAGAGATCCTCTGCGGTATCACAACGGGCCGAAACAGGCCCTGAGGCTGGCAGACGCCTCGACCTAACGTGACCAAGAGGGAATTATGTCTTAGAGGACTCAAAATAGCAGGCGATGATCACACTCCTAGGTAGGACATAGGATTGCTTTACTTCTTCCACCAATTCTGATCAAAGTATTTTATTTTTAGTGGTCCTTGAGATGATCTTCAAAAAGGGATGTCTACATACAGATTCCAAATGTTATCAGAAGAATAAAACACTATAAATCGAGGAGGAATCGGAACTGAAAGATGGACAACAGTCCGAAGAGTACTGGAATCTTCAGAGCAAAATCTGTTTAAGATATGATCACCTTCTCGATCTTAGGGACACCTTTTTGGGTGTTTTCTTGCAGTGCATGCCACATACCAAAGCGAGTGTCAGGCTGCGTGGATTTTGGCTGGGCGCGATTCTCATCAGTAGTGCTATAAGTAGTTTTCCTTTTCGAACTTGAATGCTCGTCTCTGGCAGCTCTCTCTCTCCCTCTCTGTTGGCATTCTAATGCCCTCCCCTCGTGCCTCGTGCCTCGTACCCCCAATCCATCCGTTGATAATGAGCATGTTCTCCAGTTGCCATTCCTGTTGCTCATGATTTCTGAAGATGCGACTGCAGCGGCGGCTGCAGAAGTAGCATTCGAAGAAGTAGCTTCAACTGAACCCAGACATCATTACAATATAATTGATGGGTTATGGCCCCGCTAACGGTACTGGCCAAAATGTTTCCTTGGATTCTGTTTCTTGCTTTAGAAGGAGGAGGAGGAGAAGCCAGTTTTTGGTTTGGGGAAATTATCATTGTTCCGTTTGACAGCTGGCGAGGAGTTGTGCGTATGGTTATGGGAGTTGCTTTGGAGTTTCGGCTATGAATATGGAAAATGGTTATAGTGCCACCAAATCGGGCGGGTAATGTGAGCCGCTGACATAGAAAACTACTTAGGATTTGCTAGAGAAAATGTGCAGAGAATGCAATAGGTTCTTGAATTTTTGCGCACAGAAAAGGTTTGAGTCCTGGGAAGCGAAATTACTTGATTTTGAGACCAGAAATATTGTCAGACATGAGATACACATATCCCGACTACCTTTAAAACGCTCCCTAACTTCATAAATCAATTCCCAGGGCCTTCAATCTCAAAAAACAACCAGAAATCGCAGCAAAAACTTTCAAGAACCGCCCTCCTATATATGTATGTATCTGCTCAACCGAAACGAATCTCTGGCCGCATTCGCGTGAATCAAAATCGACTAAAAACCCTATTCATTTCAATGTCATTTGGCAGTCGAACAAAAAAAGAAAACCGAAGCAGCAAGGCAGAAGGCCAGGGCACTGAAAGTATATCTCAAAAGTGTATCTGTATCTGCATCCAAATCGAAAACGTTTAGGCGAAAAAAAAGGCACCAGAAATTACAGCAAAACATTTGCGGTTACCGCATTTTTGTTTCTGTTTTACTTTGCTTAAGGTTTTTTGCTGCGGTCTTAGCCATAATGCCGCCTAAACCGCAGCTGTGTTTTTCTGTGCTGGCCGATACGCTGCACGCACCACAATGGAGATACTATATATGAATGAGGATGTGGATCGCGCCTGAGAGGAAGGAGTCGCGTTGCAAATGGAGACGTGGATGTGGTTGAGGCGGAGGCTAAAGGAAAGTAAACTCCATTCGATCCTCGGGTTGATGCCCATAAATGGTGCGTTAATTAAATGCTTTATTAGCATAATGAAATGGGATCAAAGGTACGGGAGTAGCAGACAAATAAAGGTAGCTTTAAAGGGTATAAGGAATAAGGGATACACATATATTAATGTGGTTTATTTCTGAATTAAAAGAAGAGGATTCAATAGATAGAATATCTCAAAATGTCTCTCATCTGATGTATAGGCTAAACCGATCATGCTTCTCCCTTGAGACCCAAAAGTAGCGCCTCATAAAGTGCGTCTCGAGCCATACCCTACAGTTTTTGGACTAATTTTCAACGGGTATTATAGTAAGTATTGCTTCGGATTTTTTTCATAGCAGGCCATGCAAAATGAGGACCCAAAAAGGATACGAGGCGGAAGCTGCTTTATTGTTACCGTTTTTGGCTCTGGCTTTTTGCCTCTGGCCCCTGGGGTTGTGCGTTGTGGCCAACACTTGTTGGCCTGACCTGAAGCCTCCTTTGTTTTCTGTAGTCTGGAGTCTCCAGTCTCTAGACTGGAGTCTGTGTGCGTTTTTTTTTCGGGGAAGATCTCTCCCTCTCTCTCCTGCAAGCCATTGATCAAGCGATCCATAATGAGCGATAACTGCAGTTGGTGTTTTTTCCTTCTTGCTGTTTAGATTTGCTTTTGTTTAGTCCTGAGATTGAGAGCGGTATTTTATATAGGTTTTTTTTGTTGTTGTCTCTGTTACGTATCTGGCGGATACATTAAGTATCCGCATGTAGCGGCATTTTTTGTTTGTCTCCCTCTACCTCTCGCTCGAAAGAGAAGGAGCAGGAGGAGGAGGAAAATTAAACTGTTAACCATGCCATGTTTAGCTGCCATTGTTCGTTCGACTTTTAGCATTAGCCAGGGCGGTTAGCCAGGGGGGTTAGCCAAGGGGGTATCCCGGGGGGACATTGTTTCGGCGGCGGCGGTCGATCGCCTGCTCGTGGGCTACATATGTCTTTCGGGGGATATCTACCGCTGCATCGAGTATCTGTATCGCTATCTAATCGCTTTCTAATGGTCCACGGCGATCTATGTTAGCTGTCAGTCGATCGCTTGTTTGTTAAATACAATTTTTTTGTGGTCTTATGTCCAAGACGCCAACTCTTAAACATATTAATAAATTAGAAAATGTTTTTGTCTAGTGATGCCACTGCTGCTGCCTGCTTCTGGCCTTTAAACTTTTAATGCATGGAAAATTGCATGCCGATCGCTGGCTGCCTGGCCAACCTTCAAAATTAAGTTGTCTCTTAATTACCGAGGAGATGGGTATGGGGAGATGGGGGTTTTTCTGCTGTAATTAATTACTACCCGAAGTGTGATGAACTTTAAGTGGATTTTGATAGAGCCAACGATCGGTTAAGTGTGTGAAACATCGTTAATCAAATGGGAATATCAAGAGCTAATAAATCTAAAGAACTTCCTCGTTCTTCGCCAAGAATTACCTCCCAATATGTTCGAAGTGCCCGCCCCAGAAACTTTCTAACAACAAATGCCTCTGCCTGTGCATCTGCATAATAAATTGAATACATCAGGAAAAAACTATAAATAATTGCCAACAACTGCAGGAGGAAATGAAGAAATTTTGCCAGAAATTTTCGTCGTGTACGGATTGGAGTGCGTGTGCCTGTGCGAATGGCCCAAAGGCGAAGGCTAATGGCCCCCAAAACGGCCAAGCGACGACGACAAGCATTTACAAGCTGTGGCCACAAACTGTGCGACGAGAGACAAGTGCAATAGGCCAACGCAGGTGCTCGGCAGTGTATACCCTGTTCAGAAAGGATACCCTTCTTAAGGAGGTGTATTATGATCCCGACGAAAGGAAGGAATCTATCTATTTGGAGCTCTAAAGTGTATATTTTCTGGATTAGTATCAACTAAGGAGTCGACTAGGCCATGCCCGAATCGGTTTACTATATCACAGGATCACTTGGAACTAGTTTTCAGAGCAAGGATCGTTCGGAGCATAAGTTTTTGTAAGAATTTGCAATGAATTCAACCATTTCTTACATTCCAGTAAAGGTTTATCCATGTCGGAAGACTATATCATATAAATACCATAGGAATAATGGATTTAAATCGATCTCTTAGGACATATAAAGCTTCAACTGCTAAAAAGAGTCCTTCCCTTCCGATTTGTAGTAGGTTTTAACTAATTAAATATGACTAAATTCTAACACTAAACTCTTAAACACACTCCACTTCCATCTATAGAGCATTTATTGGAACCACCAGAGCAGACCAGACCAGACCAGACCATACCGGACCCACTGCAGCATCATTCAATCTGCCATCCTGGCAGCCGTGCTGTCTGTCTGTGTGTGTGTGTGTGTGCCACAAGCCAGCCAGGAGATGACCGCGACCGCGAAGGCAACGCACGACAGAGGCCACAAGCGGCCAAGAGGAAGGGGCAGAGGCAGTCAGGGAAGCAGGCAATCGGCCAAACTGTCAGACATGGTGCGTCGTTGTGTGCCAAAAGAGCAACCGCAGAGACAGGCGGACAAGCAGGCAACAGGCGCAAGTCAAGTGAATGGCCAATGACCACCAAATTGGCAGTAAAGCATACAAAAATAACTTCAAATGGTCAAAAGGTTAACAAAATCAAGCAGAGAACAAGAAGAGAAGACAGCAGACAGCAGCAGCAGCCAGGCGGTGGCACCAAGAGACAGAGAGAGAACGGGAGAGAGAGAGAGAGATGAGAAGCTGCTGGTGATGCTGCAGCTGTCCCGATCCCAGCCAGCGGCTGCGGCTGCATGCCCCAACATGTTGCCAACATTCCGTCAGAGCCACCAGCAGCAGCAGCCAAAGCAACAGTTGCCGTTGCAGTGTGTGTGTGGTGTGTGTGTGTGCCGCCGCCTGTTGCAAGCAACATAATCCCCGCAGCCAGTGTCTGCTGTGGCGTCGGCTGTGTGCGCAACGAAAAAATGATTAATGAGTTGCCTCATTACCTGGCGAAAATCAATGTCTTGCGCATATTCTGTGGGCCAAGAACCCGAGAGAAGAGCAGCTCCATCCAAGACGGAGCCCCCAAACCTGTCACAGCCACTTGGCCATGTCTGCGTTGTCGTTAGCCATGTCGCTGCCGTCTCTTGTCGCCCTGCCGCCCGTTGCTGTTCCTGTTGCCCCGTCGCTTGTTGTCGCATAATAAATCGATCATAATTCTGCAGACCCGAGACTCAAATATCGCAGTGTCGACGCTGATTTCGATGCTGATTCTGATTCCGATTCTGATTCTGATTCGGATCTGCTGCAGCTTGCAACGACGACAATCAGCTCCTGTCGCACACGACGACAACAACGACAACGACGACGACAGCCACATCATCGGGGAGACCTCTGCTCTGACTGATCTCTGAGTCGATCTTTGCCGCACTTGGCTTCCCTTTTTGCTTTTATTTTTCTTTTAATTGCAGTCGCGCGCCGCCTGCTCCCCATCTGGCCAGAGGCTGTTGCTGTTGCTTATTTATTAAACCGTTGACATTCTGGTGACTGCAGGCGCCGCTGGCTCCTTTGATAGCCATCAGCCATCAGTCGATATCCAGGCGCCTCGAATTTATGGCTACTGGTATTATTGATTAACTTCTTGGCCATATTGTGACTTATTAAAGATTATGGTCTTGCAGGTGGTGCTCATTTGGCTGAGAAATGAGCAAGGCTTAACGAAGGCTGTATCGATAGTAGGCAGAGCGAGAAATCATCGACTGCAACCCTACAATAGCCATTCGATAGCTGGAGGAGCAGTGTACAGGAAGACTGAATTTACTTCTTGATTATATTACGATTTTTATCCATGAATCTTCCCCATTAAGTGTCGCATATCTGCCTGAAAAATTAGGTAAGCGTCCTTTACCTTTAATTTCGATAAATTACATGTGTGAACTCATCAAAAGCAACCGTACAACAGCCATTCGATTGTAGCAGTAGCGGACTAGGGGTAGAATGGATTGTTAACCATGATCTTTATCATTAAAGATTACAAAATATTCTTGAGAAATTAGGTGTGATTTCGGTCATCGATAAAGTGAAAAAATAAGCACATCGAAAGCAACCCTTCGATAACCATCAATCGATATGTGGTTATCCCTATGAGGTCCACCCCCCCCCCCCTTCGATCAAGTGAAAGTGTGAGGCCATAAAAAAACCAACCCATTTTTATCAACGATTACACAATCCACACACATGGATGGGTGGATTATTATTATCATTAAACAATGATGTTTATTTTAAATACAGAAAGAGTGCGAGTCTCCCAGACAAGCGGTAATTGAACAAACGATGGATGATATCCACAGCGGGCCAATAAACCGATGCGATTGAACTCTTTATCGCTGCCACAGAGCGCCCCTTCGTTATCTGTGGAATGGAATGGACTGAGGACTGGGGCAACTATGTAAATATTGTAAATCTATAAAACCGAACCGAACGGCAGTGCCAAAATGTAAGAAAAATTCAAAGATTTACGACTCGAGGGTTCTTTATCGGTTACTGTTTCAGAGTTTACCTTTCCCACATAGAACAGATATCTATTCGGTCAAAATGGCAGGGGAAGGGGAGGATATGGCTGTAGGATTGTTGTACTTCAACCAAAAACCGAAATATTAAAGTCAACAACACAAAATGGTTTGTGGTTTGCTGTGGCTGTTGCTCGGGCTCTGGCTCTGGCTGTCAGGCAGGCAGCACAAACAAGTTGAATGGCATTGCAAATGTGTGTGCAACATGAGGCAGGAGGAGGAGGAGGAGACATGGCGAGGAGAAGGGCTGGCTACCAACTGCCAACAGCAGTTTGATTGTTATTGCCAATGAATGAATGCACTTGCTCTGAGGATTTGTCTGGCAGACCAACTTATGAGTTGCCCCAGCTCCATCTACAGCAGCAGCAGCAGCATCATCTCCCAACCATTGCCTTGAGGGCTCTGTGTGGCAACAACACATTTTGCGGTCTCCAGTTGCAGTTGCAAGTTGCAGCTTCTGCTGCCATTGTTGTGGCTCTCTCTCCAGCTCCAGCTCCAGCTTCAGTGGCAGCTCCTATCCTTTTGTGTGGCTGCTGCGTAAACCCTCAGGGGGTGCTTATGCCGGCTCTTGTTGCAACTGTGTGTTGGCCATGAATTTGCTGCACAACAACATTTCCGTTTTGGCCATTATATGGCGCCCGGTTCTATGAGAGTAGCCCCCCATTGTCGCTGACATTTTCACACTTTTGCCTGGAGACTGAGTCGAGTGGAGTGGAGTAGAGTGGAGTGAATGCGTAGCAGATGTTGTAGATGACATTATCCTTGTTCATTTCCCTTTTTCGTGTTTTATTCTTGTTGATTTATTGATGTCTCTTTGTTGTGTTGTGTGGCTTGTTTGTTTGTGGGCTTGGGGGTGCGCTTTTCCCATTAGCTGGGGGTTGGATATTAATATGAAACATTAAAGCTCTCTGCGTGCCCGTAATCGTTTAAAATCTCAACACCTTTGAGCGAACAAAAGTCCATTGTTTTCGGCACATAACTACATAAATTAAGGTACTCTTCAGAGGAGTGGAGAGTGCAGCATGTCGACGGCAGGAATCGCCACCAGAGTTCCTTCAATTGATTTTTGAAACGACTTTGTTGGTGGGCTCCCCCACATTCTGGACGTCGAGTGGAACAATGGAGAAAAACACACACTGGATAACAAGGGGGTATTGTATTGTCTGTGCTGTGCTCTGCTGTGTGCACATATTGAATGAATTGGTTTTTGCCTCTTCGCTTTTTTGCCGATTCGATTGGGGGTAAAATAAAATTAAAATCGTATCAATTGAAACCTGTTCCGATGTCGTTGTTAACACATGTTACCCACAGTTAAAACATATACGTTTCCAAATTGCCAAACGCTGAATCTCCTCTGTATCCAAGTTGGCCGAGAGTCCGAGTCTCACAGAGAAAAAGAGACACCGAATTCGTTTGGAAAGCAGGCCTTGATTTTCCTGCATTTCACATTCGTAGAGCGCTCCGCTCACTTCTATTACATTTTCACTCGTTGCGCGTTTTGGAAATAAATTTGGAAAATAAACTCGTAGTCGTGTAGGGAGTTCTTTTTATGGGAAGTAGTCCCTGACTTTCCTGCAAATCACATTCGTACAGAGCTCTCCCTCGTCATTATATTTCCATACGTCTCTCGTGACGAACATCTCAGTAGAAAAAATCGTCGAAAAGTACAAATTTAACAATTTCAAAACATTTTCTAAAAACCTTGTGTCGCTTGGCGTTTTGGACTAAAAACGACATGTCCAACATGCAGGATGTACCGCTGCCGGAGCCAGAGGGCTTGGACGAGTCGGGTGTCGCGTCGACGGTCAGCACCAAGTCCACTTCGCTGAAGCGCTTCTTCAAGCTGAGCAAGAAGCCACACAACTTCCAGGAGGAGCTCCAAGATGTGGCCGAATCAGCCGGCCGCCAGAAGGATCCCAGCAAGAACAACACAATGGGTCGTTTCTTCACGCGCTTCAAGAACGCACAAAAGGGTAAGGACGCGCTGGCTTGCAGCCAACTTGGAGTAACTCTCGTTGATCTTTTACAGATGGTGATGAACCAGTGTCTTCGACTAGCAATGTGACCACTGTTGCTGGCGAGGAGGAGCAGCAGCAGCAGGACCAGGGCCAGGTCAGCAACAAGCCGCTGCCCAATGTGAAGCCCACAATTAAGGAGTCCATATCGAGCTACTGGAAGATGCTCTTCACTCGCACCAAGGCCCAGAAGCAGGCTGGCTCTGGCATGTCGGTCGGCATGGAGGAGGTGCACGAGCTGCAGCAGGTGAAGCAGGATCAGACTCAATTGGACGGCCAATTCAATCAGTCTGACCGCGAGGAGGACATCGAGGTTTTGAACACACCCCAGCCGGAGGTCGCTGTAGCTCTGACCCTGCAGGAGCTGGAAGACTAAGACACTAAGACACAAGCATCTACTATAAACACTATCCTCTTGGCAAACACTTCAACCACATATCGTTACTTGCGTTGTCCTCCCGAGCCTCGAGAACGACTAGCCGACGGTCGGAGGCATCCTTCGAGCGCTGAAAGACAAACGCTACAAAACATTTATACACTATCCTCTTGGCAATTACTTACACTATCCTCAACACTTGGTGACTTCAATTTGTTTCCCTAAAATACGCCACAGAATCCCAACAATTTTAAATTGTTACACTATCGAAAGGTTCGGCCTTCCACAGAATGTTCAATTGTAGGCATACCTTCAAAATAAATGCTCCTGCATATGCAAGTAAAATGTAATCCTTGTAAACCAATCCTTGGACAACCATCCTTTGGGTCATCAAAGTTCAGTTAAATCAGTTGTTAAAATGTTCCCTCTACAGGGTGTCGGTTACCATTCGAAAACACGATTTGGAACCAGGGTCAAAAGGTGCCGCATTTGCCAGACAACACCCTGGATGGAGTCGAGGTTTTTGCTTTCCACGGAAGCCTTAAAAAAAAAGAAAGGAACACCCCCAAAAAGGTGTGCATCCCATTTGGTAAATGAGTATTTAATTGTGGAGCTAGGGGGGTGGGCACGAAGGGGGTAGATGGAATAAATGTCTGCATATTGTTCAATTTATTGAGAAATCAATAATTATTTCAATAAAAATTCGAAATGACAGTAAAAGCAAAGCAAGTGCCATAATACTTCTTTGAAATGTCTCTGGTAACATAGATTTAATTAAATCTCTCCATAAACCCTTGAAAAACTCTCCAAAGAGCAACACAAACCAGTTGCATATCGTTTGAAAGTCAAAACAGCTGTGAAATATTTACAAATATTGTCTGGAAACTGCGCAGACTCTAGAATCCTCGTAGAAATAAATAGTAAATATTTACACACGGCTAGACCAAAACAAACACTTGTTGGGTGGGAAAAGTGCGACCGGAAAATGCGGAAAATGTGAGATAAACACGCGATATGCGCATGTCCTACTTCGAGCAGCTGTTTTTCCTTGGCTGCTGTCGAGGGTGAGTGGCCAAAGTGGGTCAAGAACTCAAACCCCGACTCGAATTTATGAAAATACCTTTACATTTCCGATTAAATAGTCAAGCAAAGATCTAAAGTTGAGTAGTTTTATGTCTTAGGAGAGCAATTGTCTGATAAATCTATCTAAAAAGTGCGTAAAATTCCAGTGAAAGTAATTTTAAACTACAGGGTGGTGGTGGCGCATCGAACAGATATGAAAATCGCGCAGGATACACACCGAAAATTCAGTTTAGTTGTAGAGATTTTTCTTTGTGGTCAAGGCTTGCTGTAACACCCGTAAAAAATTGCAAATCTATTGAAAAAACTAACAAATTTCGAGGTAAATTTCTAAGAAATATAATCCTAAGCCTCCAAGGCATCTGTGGGATATGAAACTTTTCGGGTTTCCATGAAATTTCGCCTGATTTGAAAGATTTTCCTCCATCGGCAGCATCTTCAAGAGGGGTGCTCCAACCATTACGTAAGCTTTTGTTAAGATTCTTTCTTAATATATTTTACAGAATGCGAAGTCCCTCGGCAGCAGTTTCGGCAATGCTAAGGATTTGTCTGATATAATGACTGGCAGCTTTAAGGTGCAACTCATCAACATGGGCACTCGTGCTGCCGCCTGTAAGTACAGACCTTAGGAGTCTCAATATACGTTTCATATGTGTATCCTCCTATTACAGTTCAGGCAAAATTGAGAGCCCTTCATGACTACCACGTACGTCTATTGCACAATGTCTTACCCGCCCCCTCTGGCGTTGATATTGCCAACAATATCAAATACTTTTCACAAACTCTACTAAGTGAGTAACTACATAGTCGTATGTCTTATCTCTAGGGAACTGCTGAATGACTCCTTTGATTGTCCTTTTCAGCTGTCCTTAAAGATGTGCGCACTTCTCCGCACGAACTTATACGGGATCCCCACGAGGATCCCACACGCATGTCTGCCTATCCCAATCTCGAATATGGCAACCTCTATAATGCCCTAACTATGCTCATCGATGTGGCACCTTGCATCCAGTATGGACAAATCGGTAAGATCGAAGATCATCTAGCTCTCTGATATTTACATTCCATTAATGCCTCTCTCTCTTGTCTTTTGGTTTAGTTTTCGGCAAAGCTCTTTTGCAGTGCCTAAGCTGCATTCTACCCTTCCTCGACAAGGATCTTATTGATAATCTACCCTATCTGGTTAGCTCCACTATATCTGTACTACCACCAGCTCTGCACCAGGACATTGTCAATGCCCTGTGCTACTATATCTTACCCTTTACTATCAGTAAGTAGCCAGATTCCTCTCTTGGGGGACTATTTCTAATGGATTTTCTTAGCTCGTCGCAGCTCCGATGAGCAGGAGTGCCAGGCCTGCCAGTCAGTCTCCTCCGTGATCATGATGGTGCTGCAGTATTCCAACAATCCCGCCCATCACTGCCAGCTGCTGGAATGCCTGATGACCCTCAAGCATAATGTGGTCAAGGACATTCTGTGCGTGGTGGCCTATGGCACTGCTGTCTCCCGCTCCTCGGCGGCCAAGCTGCTCTTCTACTACTGGCCCGCCTTCGATGCCAATCTCTTTGATCGCAAAGTCTTGCTCTCCAAACTGACAAGTAAAGAAAGTCCTTCAAAATACAAAGAAGATATGCTTACACCCATCAAAATCCCTTTATAGACGACCTTGTGCCCTTCACCTGCCAGCGCGAGCATTGCCCGAATGCTGGGAATGCCGAGGCAGCCAAGGTCTGCTATGATCATAGCATCAGCATCGCCTATGCACCGGACTGTCCGCCGCCCCTTTATCTGTGCATCGAGTGCGCCAATGAGATCCATAGGGAGCATGCCAACCTGGAGTTTGGCGACATCCTGCATCCCATGCAGCAGGTCTCGATGGTCTGCGAGAACAAGAACTGTCGCTCCAACGAGAAGTCCGCCTTCTCCATCTGCTTCTCCACGGAGTGTGCCACCTTCAACGGCAATCATCCCATTCGATACTGCAGCCAGTGCCACAGCAATAGGCACAACTCGCGACGCGGCGGCGATCATGTGGTGCACCGCAGCCTGCAACCCGCCTGGCAGATGGATCCCGAGATGCAGATGCATATGGTGGAGTCGGTGGTGAGCCTTTTGCGGGAGTCGAAGCCGCTCAACTTTGAGCCCGGCAAGGAGTCCTCCTCCTCGGAGGCGAAGAAGAACGGTTCCGCGGGCACGGCGGATAATATTTCACGGGAGGAGCGTCAGAGGCTGGGCCGCTATGGCATTTGGCTGCTCGTGGGTCGCTGCACGCCCACTGCCGACACGCCCGTTGAGGTGCTGGGCAGAATTCTGAGTATGCTCTTCCATTGGTTCCATGTCACCGCTTATTCCTACGATGGTAAGGGCTTTCATTGGAAGGAAGAGCTGCCTGTAAACCCACTTCATTCTCTGCTTTCAGCTGCTGGTCAGGTGGAGAGCACCATTGAGAAGCTGAAAGTGGATCACGTCTGCAATTGGCTGAAGGAGATCTGCCGCATCCACTACAACGTCTTCATCGCCTGCTTGCTGCCACATCCGCCCGAGTATGCCCGCGTCGGCGGTCATTGGGAGACCCTGGCCTCTCGCACCAGCCACCTCAAGGAGGGTATGCAGCGTCTGATCTGCCTGGTGCCGTACGAGGTGATCACCTCGGAGATCTGGGACTATGTCATGCCCCACTGGATGGAGGCCATCACCAATGATGTGGCCGAGAAGGAGCTCAACGAGCTGAAGATCGTCCTCAGCAAGATCCTCGATCCGGAGATGTCGCCCCTGGGCTTCGATGGCAAGACAATGTACAACTTTGTGGCCATACGCTTCGAGAAGACCACCGCCAAGGTCCAACAGCAGGCACTCCACTGGCTGCAGATCCTCACGAAGCTAGAGATTCTCATTCCGCTGGTTCAGCTCTTTGCCATGTTCGGCGATGGCGTTCGCATCATGAAGTACGGCATCCAGCACGAGCTAATGCGCGAGAAGGATGCTGCACAGCTGCAGCTTCCGAAGGCCCCCAAGGTGCCCTGCAAGGAGACCAAGGCAGAGATGGCCAATCCCCCCAGACGCAGTTCCATTTGTAAGTCATTTCTAAGATCTAGGATTGTATCCCACAGCAGAATAACCAAATGAATTTCCAGCCCCTGTGGTGGAGGATGACTCTGGCAATACGTCGGCCATATCGGACGATGAGGCACCCACCAATCGCCACACGGAGTTCTCCACCGATGCCGAGCACAATCTCACCTGTTGCATCCTCATGCTGGACATCCTTCTGAAGCAGATGGAGCTGCAGGACGTGGAACAGCACATGGGCATCCATACGAGTGTTTGCGAGAATGTATCCCGGCTGATCAAGTGTATGGTCACAGCGGCCCGTGTGGGCCTTAGCAGCCATGTGTGCGCCCTGAAGGTAGGCCCTTCTATTTGTGAGATATGGAAGCCAATAAATGCCTTTTGAATGCCCTTATAGGTGGCGGAATGCGCCTACTGCGAGGCCTCCATCATGTGGCATCAGTTGGCCACGAAATTAGTTCAGTTTATGGCTCCTTTGAACCCCGTTAGGCCACCAGATGTGAGTGATACCCTAGAGATGCTAGAGAATGGCATTGATCTCACCTTATTTCAAGGTTCCCATTGAGGACATCATCGAGGAGGAAAAGTCCTCACGCAAATCCCCGCCCGAGTCCGACAAGGAAAAGACCAGGGATGTATCTCTATCAATGGCCCCCCTGCCCATACCCCTGGGTCCGCTTGGAGGATTTGCAGGTACGCGCCAGACCTATCCAACCTTTATTCTTTGATTTGATTTGAAGACCCCGTACCCCACGACAACGAAATTCGGTTGTAACATATAGAAGACTGTCGTGAAAGCAATCCCTAACCCTAACCATAATCGAAACCCAAAACCCGAATCTCCAATTCACCTATAAATAACCTATCCACCGTAACAGTAAAAGCCGTGAAACGTCACCTAAAAATGTAGCTAATTGTAGACTGTACTTTGAGCCTGGACTCTACATATACATATACATCCATATTTATAAGCCGTTTTGCAGGCGAATGGTATACGATGCCCCCTCGCTCACGGAGCGGCTGGGCGTCCTTGTAAACAAAACTTACTTAGTCTAAAGAGAATCCCACGTTTTAAAAAGCAAACTGAACTTTTGTACCTACAAACAAACAAATCTAGTAACCTGCACTGCTATGCCTTGTAAAGTACCTTACTTGACCCTTGAAGTAAACAAAAACCCCAGACTAAAAGCCCCTAAATCCC